TTGAGTGCTCGGAGGGGTTGGCTGTGTTTCAGTTTTAAAGGCTACACTGCATTTCTGGTAAACCACAAGGTAAAGGCCTCCGGAGAAGCAGATGTTTTGCTGGTTTTGAGGCCTGTGGCTTTCCATAGAGAAGTAACAGTACAGGCCACATGAAGCTTTTATTTCCTCTTTTTTTTTTTTTAAAGTGGGGCCAAGGGTGCTTTGAACTTGGTTGTCAGATATACCTGGACAGGTCTGGTAGGTATCTGAAGTATTCACCCTCAGACGTCAGATTCATATTTCTGGGTATTTAGTGTGAGAAGACTATGAGACTGTCTAGTGAGTGTTCTCAATGGTATTGGACCATAGAATTAGCCTTAGAAATACTAATGAACGTCATAGAAGAAATTTAGAACTAAGGGAACAGGAGATTGATTGTATGGGAGAAGTTTGGGTGGACAGAAAGCCTAAATGAAACGCTGGGAACACTGATGTTTAGAAGTTGGGAAGAGAATTAGGCCAGATGGTGTGAGGAAAACCAGAACTGAGTGCTGTGAAGACAGGAAGTCAGTTCTGTTTTCAGAGTTCAGACTGAGTTCTTTCTAGGTAGTTTGTTTATATTTTTAATTGGAGTCTTATATAGCCAGGCTGGCCTCAGACTACCCTCTATGAGGGTAACCTTGAAATTATCTCCTGTGTCCTCCCAAGTGCTAGGATTCCAGGCAGGCCCTACCCTGCCTGGCTATGGCCCCTTCCACATTTCACACTGTTTCCATCCTGGGCCCCCCAGCCCAGCCCCCCTTACCTCATGGATGATTTCACTTGTTTTTTGTTTTTTTTTTTTTTTAAACTTGGTGTGGCTGGGCATGGTGGTGCAGGCCTTCAAAACATTTGGGAGGCAGGCGGAGTTCGAGCCCAGCCTGGTCTGCATAGTGAGCTCCAGGCCAACTCCAGGCCAACTGGGGCTACAGGGAGATCCTGTCTCAAAAAGACCAAAAAAAAAAGAAACAAAACCCCAAACTTGGTGAATAGCAACTGCCCAGTGCCATAGGGTGAGAAAGTGGGACAAGATGGGATGTCTGTCTGTGTCTGTGCAGGGTGTAAGTCTCATGCAAGTGAGTGGGAGGGACTGGTCCAGGAGTTTCATCTTGTAGCATGAGGGATTTGAGTCTGGATTAGAAATGAATCTTGAACGTATCCACCATGTGGACTGGCATGATTGGATGTCTGAATGGAAAAGTAGGCAGGGACAGGTTGAAGGAGGGCCTCAAATTCAGAGCTAAGGAATATGAACACTATCCTGCAGAGTTGAAAGTGCTTTTCTTAGACAGGAGCTGGGGACAAGACAGTTCAAGACTCCTAAGGAAAGCTTGTGTTTTGTTTGTTTTGTTATTCTTTGGGGGACAGAGTCTCTGCTTGTCTGCTAGCCTCAAACTCATTATGTAGCTGAGGATGCCCTTGAACTTATGAACCTCCTGCCTCTGCCTCCCTAGTGTGCAGTTGCCTCTATACCTGGTTGAAATTTGTAGGCTTTGGGGGAAAAATGCCTTTGCAGAGACTTTTAACAGCCAGATGGTGAGGTGACAGGCTAGGTACTAGGAAAAGGGGATGAAGGCCTGCTCTGGGACCTGCACTAGATGGGCAGGAAGGAGGATGTGGAGTAGCCTTTCTTATGAAGAACACTGAAGAATTGGTGCATTAATGTTGAATCACCTGGAAAGAACAGTCTTAGAACAAAACCACCATCACCATAGACTGAATTTTACAGGGAGTAGTGGTAGCATAGCGAAGGACATGGATTTGGAGGCTGGACTTGAATTCTGGCTTTACCTCTGAGGAGCTGGGTGACCTTGATCTTAACTATCTATGCCTCAGCTTCCTTGTCTGTAAAATGGGAGTAATGATAGAACTTCCTTCTTAGGTTGGGGAACTATGTAGTAGATACTTAATAACTACTACTTGTTTGAAGGATGCTCATCATAATAAATGGAAGCACAAAATCGGAACTCAGGTTTGCCCTCCTCCACTGCATTACCAGATGTTATAGAATCAGCCTTCTTTTTGTGTCTCCTCTTCTGACCAACCTGTTGTGCATTGCTTGGCACCGAACCCACATTCAGTACCCCATGGTCTGGTATTCCACTGATCCACACTAGATTGCTCCATGTAGACTGTCTCCTAGAGCCCGACTCCCATTTTCCACCTCTATCCTTCATGGAGTAGCCTCCAAAGCTCTCCACCTCTCCACCTCCAGGAAAGCTGTCCCTCTCCCTTGGATCTGGCCACCCTGCCTTGGTGAAGATGTTCTGGACTGCCAGAGGTCACTTCAGGCCATCTGTCCTCTGGGCTTCCTGGGTGCACAGATGAGCTGCTCCTGGCTGCTCTTCTGTGCTTGGCCAGGTGGTGCCTCAGAACACCCTGTGGTGGCTCCATTCTTCTCTGTTTCTTTTCTTTTTTTGGTCTTTTTGAGACAGGGTCTCCCTGTAGCCCCAGATGGCCTAGAACTCACTATGTAGACCAGGCTGGCCTTCAACTCACAGAGATCCGCCTGCCTCTGCCTCCTGAGTGCTGGGACTAAAGGCCTGCGCCACCACACCTGGCTTCATTCTTGATGCTCTTACCTGCTACAAATGAGTCACAGTTTAGTACAGATTCTAGTTACTTTTTTGTTTAAGCCCCTCCCAATGCTAAATGTTCAATCAGTTCTTAAGAATGGATCCAGAAGGTGGCTCAGTGGTTAAGAGCACCTATACTGCTCTTGCAGGACCCAAGTTCTCTTCCCAGCACCCATGTCAAGTAGATCACAACCACTTGAACTCCAGCTCCAGGGATCTGATGCCCTCTTCTGGCCTCTATGGGCATGAGCATTCACGTGTGTTTGTGTGTGTGTGTGTGTGTGTGTGTGTATGCGTGTGCATGTGCGTGTGTGTGTGTGTGTTTGTAAAAAATGAATGGGTTCAGGTCTTCATCTCCCAGCTGGGCTATGTGACTGGCCTCTTACCCTAGTCTGCTCCTAACTGTGCTTAGGCCATGCTGCCCCTGGAACAGCCTCTGGGTTCTGCTTTGGTTGCTCTGATGGTCTGGGGTTGAACCTTGACTCCTCAGGGCTCCTGAAGCCTGATTCTCACCGGCCTCTTGGTCTCTCTTTGCAGGCAATGACTCCTGCACAACTTGTCCCCCCTAGTTCCCAGAATGTTCCATGTGTCCTTCCTGGCTGACTTGTCTTGCTGGAGCCCACCTGGCAGGCTCTGGCTCTTCCTGGTGACTTCCTCTAAGACTTGAGCAAGCTGAGCAGGGTGCTTCCTCCTAGCTCCTCCCACCACCCTTTGTTCCTCCTGCTTTCCTTTTGGGCCAAGAGCCACCTATATACTATTTGCTGGCCGGGCTGACTGGAAGCCCTCAGGGCAGAGCTCTTTCTTGCCCATCTCCCCCAGAGATGCTGCGTTAACGGCTTGGAGTGCCTGTTGATCGTAGGACTTGATAGAGAAGTCTGCTAACAGAGGTCATGCCTCATCCCAGACGAGAGTGCTGCTTTCTGATGCCTTGACAGATTTTCCCACCGAACTATATGAATTATATTGAAAATTGACAGTGATGAGTCCTATCTTAGAAAAGGGTGAAATTGGAAAGCGCAGAACATCCAAGACTGGAGTTGGAGGCTGCTGATGGGGCTTGTCGGCCAGGCCTTCCCCCGAGGGTCTCAAACACTGGGAGTGGGAGGGCCCACTTTCCTGGTGGGCAGGTGATTTGTAGGCTAGGACGCTTCCGAGGTGATTTAGTTGTGGACTGGCGAAGTGCAGGCTAATGCCTGGGCCTGGCTGCTAGCGCCCTCAACCGCGGGCTGGAGCGGGCCACCAGGGTTGGGACCGGGTCCAGGGCTGGCAGTGAAGGCGCGGTGGGCGTGCGGCCGGCCGGTGGGCCTGGGAAGGGCCGGGCCGCGCCGTAAGAGAAGTTTCGAGCTGGGCCACCAGTGCGGCCTGGCGCGCTCCTCCCGGGGAGGGAGGGTGAGAGGGAGGGAGGACCCTGGAACCGCGGCCGCGGCTGGAGCGGGCCACCAGGGTTGGGACCGGGTCCAGGGCTGGCAGTGAAGGCGCGGTGGGCGTGCGGCCGGCCGGTGGGCCTGGGAAGGGCCGGGCCGCGCCGTAAGAGAAGTTTCGAGCTGGGCCACCAGTGCGGCCTGGCGCGCTCCTCCCGGGGAGGGAGGGTGAGAGGGAGGGAGGACCCTGGAACCGCGGCCGCGCTCGGCTCGGCTCGGGCTGCCTGGCGGGGGTCGGGCCGGGGGCGGGGCCGGGCCGGAGCG